CAGGTCTTCCCGGTTCCTGCTCTGACTGGATACCACGCTATAGCCAGGGGCCATTCTGACTGTGGCCCGGTCCCAAACTAACCACCTATGCCTGGGGCCCAGAGCCCAAGGAGCTGGCTGGCTCCCAGTGACAAAAGTCTTTTTTTTTTTTTTTTAAGACAGGGTCTTTGTCACCCAGGCTGCAGTTCAGTGATGCAATCACAGTTTACTGCACTGTTGACCTCCCGGGTTCAAGTGATCCTCCCACTTCAGCCTCCTGAGTAGCTGGGACTACAGGCATGTACCACCACACCTGGCTAATTTTTGTATATTTTGTAGAGACACGGTTTCACCTTGTTGCCCAAGCTGGTCTTGAACTCCTGGGCTCAGGTGATCCGCCTACCTTGGCCTGACAAAGGGCTGGGGTTACAGGCATGAACCATGGCGCCCGGCCCAAAAGTCTTACTTTAACCACTGTCTCTTTAAGAGTAACTAGCCAGCTGGACACGGTGGCTCATGCCTGTAATCCCAGCACTTTGAAAGGCTGAAGTGGGCAGATCACCTGAGGTCAAGAGTTCGAGACCAGCCTGGCTAACTTGGTGAAACCCCATCTCTACTAAAAATACAGACATTTTTAGCCAGGTGTGATGACAGGTGCCTGTAATCCCAGATACTCAGGACGCTGAGGCAGGAGAATCAGCCTAAGCAACACAGGGAGACTCCGTCTAAAAAATAATAATAATAAGTAGTAATAAGTAGCCAAACTGTCATTCATGATGGACTCACTGTGTGTTCGGTTTCCAGTTACCATGTTTCCCACCCTCACATCAAAGCCACCAATTCCTCCACTGTCCACAGACTGGCAACAGTTTCTCCCCTTAGGCAGGGCTGGCAGATCAGCTTCTACAGAACCATGACCAGTCTGATCCCTCACTTCATGGGCTCCACCCCAGAAGGACTGATAGACTTCTCCAGCATGAAATGGACTCAACACTGCCCTGCATGTCCCAAGCGACTTTCCACCTTCCCAGCCCTATGACTCCAACACACTCTTTTCAGCTCCAACACTCACCTGACCCTCTCCAGTGGGCCAGCCCCCTCTCCCAACACTTCAAGCCGCCAAACTTCCTCAGTTCTCTCACCTGCTACTGGCCAGCAACTCCAATTCCTGACTTGACAACATCCCCCAATTCTTTTTTTTTCTTTCTTTGAGATGGAGTTTTGCTCTTGTCACCCAGGCTGCACAAGGTCATGATCTTAGCTCACTGCAATCTCCACCTCCTGAGTTCAAGTGATTCTCCCTGCCTCAGTCTCCTGAGTAGATGGGATGACAGGCGAGCACCACCATGCCCGGCTGGTTTTTGTATTTTTGGTAGAGACGGGGTTTCCCCATGTTGGCCAGGCTGGTTTTAAACTCCTGACCTTAGGTGATCCACCCATCTTGGCCTCCCAAAGTGCTGGGATTACACGCGTGAGCCAATGCACCCGGCCATCCCCCAATTCTTTCTCAGGAAGGAACAAGAGGACCCTTCCGTAGCCATGCCCCAAACATCCTCTGCTCCTGAATGACTGAGAACCTTCCTTCTGCTTTTCTTTTTGTTGGAGGAGGAGGCGGCGGTAGGCGTTGGCTTTTCTTCTTAATACCACATTGCAGCCGGGGGCGGTGGCTCACGCCTGTAATCCCAACACTCTGGGAGGCCAAGGAGGGAGGATAGCTTGAACCCAGAAGTTCGAGACCAGCCTGGGCAATGTAGTAAGACCTCCTCTCAATAAAAATGAACACATAAAAACCACACTGCCTCTGACTCAACCAACCACAAATGGGCCACCACCTGTGCTCCTCTTCTGAGACCTTACCTTGATTCCCTTTTCACCAAATCTTCTATAGCCACAGTCCAAGTTTATATTTCTCCCTCTTTCCAGCCAAGAAAGTGGCCAACACGACCACTCCTTGACCCGAGACTTGCAGACCAGCAACTGAACTGTTTTTTACCCCCCCAGACCCATCAAACTCTTTCAACTGCCCTTTTGAGGCCAGCGTTGACCCGCTCCTCCTCCCGACTGCTCTTTCTCTCCTTCTCTGGTGGAACTACGAACGCAAAGGCTGCCACACTCTACATCTCACAAATCACCAAACTTTCTTTAATTGCTCATCTTTTTAAACCCTAAAACGATCACCATCTTTGTCTCGGGTGGGTGGGGTGCGGCAGAAAGCACATACTTTTCACCTTCCCAACTCCATAGTCACCTCCTCTCTAACAGACTCCGGTTCTAAACTGACGACTGTCCCCTTATTCACCATTAGGTGCAATCTATTGAACGCCACCTCTGAGCCGGGCCCTGCACCGATCCCTCCCGACTCCTGGGTCCCCCTCGAGCCCGCCCCCGCTTCACCCGCGGTAGCTACCATGTCTCCAGGGGTCTTTGGGCTCCACTGCTCCAGACACGATATCCTCGTCGGACGGGAACGTGACGCGCTTGGCTGCAGCCTTGAGGCGCCCATCGGCGGGGGGCGATGCGGGGCTGGGAGACCCGGCCTCGGCGGGGGCCTCTTCAACGTCGCCGTCCGCGCCCGGCACGGGCGGCGCCTCCTGCGGCGGGATCTCCATAGCCGCCGCCGCCTCCTCACGGGGGCCCCGGGGACATGCCCCGGGCCCCGGATTTGTCTCTCCGGGCCCGCCCGCCGTCCCGGGGCATGGGCTCCGCCACTGCTTCAGGCGCCGCCTCCGTCCGCTCTCCCAGTCGTCGTAATCGTCGCCGCCGGGAGCCCAAGCGCGCCTCCGCCGAGCCCCGCGCGCGCCTGCCCGTTCGCAGTCACACTTTCGCTCTAGGCTGGCGAGCCCGCCGCTTACTATAAGAAGCAGAAAATCGATTTCAGCGACTTGCAGGTAGAGTTGTCCCGCGGGTGACATGAAGAGAGAAACGAAGGGCAGGAAGGGCCACGGAAAAAAGAAACGTGAGCAGCGAATCTGCAGAGCCGGAACTGCAGACTATGAGGGGCGGGGCGAGGTAGACGCCGTCTCCAAGAGCAGCGCGCAAGCGCGAAGCTGAGCCCACGCCTCCCCGCCTGAGTCCAGATAACAAATATTCAGCTCCCGCACATTCGTCAAGAGCCCAGGGAAATGGAGTGCTTAGAAATGAAAACACCTGGCGGGGCGCGGCGGCTCACGCCTATAATCCCAGCACTTTGGGAGGCTGAGGCAGGAAGATCGCGTGAGTCTGGAGTTCGAGACCAGCCTGGGCAATATAGCAAGGCCCCGTCTCTACAAAAAATTTAAAAATTAGCAGGGTCTGGTTACGGGAGACTGTAGTTCCAGCTACTTGGGAAGTGGGAAGATCACTTGAGCCCGGCAGGTTGACGCTGCACTGATCGCGCCCCTGCACTACGACCTGGTAGACATAGCGAGACCCTGTCTCAACGAAAGGAAAGAAATGGGCCAGGGGCGGGGGCTCACGCCTGCAATCCCAGCACTTCGGGAGGCCAAGGCGGGCGGAACACGAGGTCAGAAGATCGAGACCATCCTGGCTAACACGGTGAAACCCCGTCTCTACTAAAATTACAAAAAATTAGCCAGGCGTGGTGGCGGTCGCCTGTAGTCCCACCTATTCGGGAGGCTGAGGCAGGAGAATGGCGTGAACCTGGGAGACGACGGAGCTTGCAGTGAGCCGAGATTGTGCCACTGCACTCCGGTCTGGGCGACAGAGCAAGACGCTGTCTCAAAAAAAAAAAAAAAAAGGAAAGAATGAAAACACTGAGGTTAGACTAACTGATGAAGAGTGGTAACGGCATAAAGAAGTCGAAAAGAAAGGCGGATAGGAGCTGCATTCAATATATGAGTACAGCTGATGGATGCTGACAGAGAGGGTTCCTCTGGAGACGAAGCCTCGGCCTCTTCGGTAGTCTCCAGTCTTCCATTTGCTCGCTGCAGTTACATCAACAGCTCTCTGTATAAGGGTAGTTGCATAAAATACAACTTAAATCACAATACTAAAATAAATATGAGCCCATGAGCAATGCTAAAATAAATACGAGCCCATGAACGGTATCATAGGCCTGATTTTAAAAAACAAAACCTAGGAGAAGATAGAAATTCCAAAGGCGAGAGACGAATCTGCCAACCCAAATCCTGGGTGACAAGGCTGGTGGGTCACCGAGGCAAGAACAAACCAGCGCGAGCTCAAGCCACACCCCTAGGCTCAGACCCAACGCTTGACATTCGCCGCCGCACTTTCGCCACGCTGTCCCAAGCGCACCCGGCAAACTGAAGGAGGCGGGGCTGAAACCATAAAAGGGGACTGGGCGGAGCGAGCCGCGTCGTCGCCAAGGCAACTGGAGAGCTAGGCGTCGCGAACCGACTGAAGGCAGCTGAGGTTGCTCCTGGCGCGGTTCATCATCGGCCGCCGCACTTTCGCGACTGAGACAAAACGACGCTCACCTTTACTTAATGGAAGGCTTCGCTTACATCCTGAATTTAAGGGAACTACAGAAGGGGACAGAAACTGCTTTCTTTTTAAACAATGCCCTGAAAGGTTACTAGTGACAGGGGGCTTAGTGAAGCGCGTGATGTGAACGGCCAAGCTACAAGGCTGGAGAGAAAAGAGGAGGGGGATGAAGTTGCACCCTGATCGCGAATCCTCGGCCTTTTATCAGGGGCGCCGCCACTCGGGATCCGACCATTCTCCTCCAACGAGGGGACACCGAATCTGCTGTCGTGTGCAGTCCACAGCAACCACAGGTGGGGCAACAGGAGGAGCGCTTGGGCACGACCACGTGACCCAACACGAGCCACCGCCCGCCCCAAAATGAAATCAAATCCTAATCTCCCAATCCCGGCATTCCGGTCACTCCAGCATTTCCAGGAGACTTGCGGCCCTACAGCCCCTACACCTTTATCTGGGCTCCTGTCCTACTTGGCCCAGCTCCACTGGATTCAGCCCTGGGATAACCACCCTACCAGCTCCTAAAGATTATTCCATCCCCGTGGGTATACTTAATTAAAGAAAGAAAAACAGGAGTCGAATTTTCCTGGGGTAACTGGTTCTTTAGCAGGAGAGTAGCACTGGGGAGTATCTTCAGGGTGGCTGAACTTTGCAGCCTGTTTAATAACGCCCCCCTGTGCAGGTTGTCTCCTTTATCACCCCACCCCGATGCCCTGGTCTTCAAGAAATGGCAGCAGGCCCATCTTTCTGTAGGGTTCAGAGTTCTGTGAGGTAGAGCATTCCTTCCAGTGGGATCTTAGAATTCCTAGAGTTGCAGAATTTTACTGACTAGACCCAGGAGGTCTCAGGAGTCCAGACTTGCTTAAAGCTTGGCTGAAAATTCCAAGGGAGCTCATAACTCGGTGGGGCCCAGAGTTCCTGGCTCGGGAACATTGGGAGGCCTGGGATACAGTGGCTCAGCCTCAAGCAGAAAAGTGAACACAATGTCTCTATGGCTTGAAGGTGTATGAAATAATGTCACTACATCGGAGCAGCGCCTCTGCTTGCACACCTATGGGAGTCTGCAGCTGTGACACGTAGAAGTTGGCCACATCCAGGTCGGTGGCTCCGAAGTGGGCGGCCACACGCACACCCTCGTGCAACGTGAAGCTCACCTGACGACCCACCATGGCCAGCAGGCTGCGGAGGTAACGCTCCCGAAGGGCGGCTCGGGCCCGCTGCTCCTGGAATTCCAGGGATTCTTGAGCTGTGGGACACTCCTGGATTTCAGGAACCTCTGGCCTCAGGGGGGCTCTGCGTCCATCAGGGGCAAAGCCACGGCTGAAGCCATCAGGGCCCCGGGGCAGCCGGAGCACAGGTACAGGAATGGTCACTGGAGTTTGCATTGTCTTGGCTGTTGAGTGAAGAAAAAGGGCAGGAAGTCATTACATGGTAAGCAAGGGGCTAATGGAGGAGGGAGGAGTGGAAGCAGAGGCTGGTCTACCTAGGCAGCTCCACTTCACCTGTCCCAAACCGATCCACCTCGCTAAAATCTGTGCCATCATTCCCCAGTGGCTTGGATCAGAAACAAAGTGTCACATGCACAAAAACATGAGCCCCATGAAGGTAAAGACCTTTGTCTGCTTTTAAAACAGCTTTATCTCAACTTCCAGGCAATAAATATTTGCCAAAAGATGAACCCGGCCAGGCATGGTGGCTCATGCCTGTAATCCCAGCACTTTGGGAGGCCAAGGCAGGAGGATCACTTTGAAGCCGGGAGTTTGAGACCAGCCTGGGCAATATAGTGAAATCACATTTCTACAAAACAAAAAAAATTATTTTACATTAGTTGGGCTACTCAGGAGGCTGAGGGAGAAGGATTAGTTGAGCCCAGGAGATGGAGACTGCAGTGAGCCGTAATCGTGCAACTGCACTCCAGCTTGGGTGACAGAGTGAGACGCTGTCTCTTAAAAAAAAGAACAAACCCCACCTTTCTCTCACACACAACCCATCCAATCCATCAGGAAATTCTATATTCTAGATAGACTCCCACTCACACAGGAGCTAGCTTGAAAGGTCTCCAAGTGGCCAAATCTGGAATTATTTGAATACAATAATGATAGTGACAGATTATAACCCACTGGGTAAAACAGAAATCCATAATCCATACTGATAATAAATAAATGAATAAGGAAGAGAAGAAAAATATAATCCTTACTGTAGACTGGCAAGTAAATAAATATAAAAGGAATAGATGTAAAAATGTGTGGATAGGGCCGGGTGCAGTGGCTCACACCTGTAATCCCAGAACTTTGGGAGGCCAAGGTGGGCGAATCACTTGAGGTCAGGAATTCCAGACCAGCCCGGCCAACATGCTGGTAGAGGCGAAACGCCGCCTCTACCAAAAATACAAAAATTAGCTGGGTGTGGTGGCATGTGCCTGTAGTCCCAGCTACTTGGGAGGTTAAGGCAGGAGAATCATTTGAACCCAAAAGGCAGAGGCTGCAGTGGGCGGAGATCGCACCACAGCACTCCAGCCTGGGTGACAGAGTGAGACTCTGTGTCAAAAAAAAAAAAAAAAAAAACACGGATGGGAGTTAGATGAAGTATAAGGTAGCTACATAGTATTAACAGACTCATAAGATATTCATTCACTGTAAGGGGCAAACACAAATTTATAGTGGAGGAACCTGGTACGCACCCCCTTAACTTAGTGATCAAAGCCAACATCTCCAGGAATGGGACACTAAGAAGGACAGGGCACCACTTCTGTGTTATTCCTTTTTTTCTTCTTAAAGAGACAGGGTCTCACTATGTTGCCCAGGCTGTTCTCCAACTCCTGGCCTCAAGTGATCTTCCAGCCTCTGGGCCAAACAAGGACAACGGGGACAGGCATGGTGGCTCACACCTACAATCCCAGCACTTCGGGAGGCCGAGGTGAGAGGATTGCTTGCGTTCAGGAGTTCAAGACCAGCCTGGGCAACATGGTAAGACCTTGTCTCTACTAAAAATAAAAACTATTAGCCAGGCATGACAATGTACTCATGTAAGTCCCAGCTACTCAGAAGACTGAGGTAAGAGAATCACTGGAGCCCTGGAAGGTTGAAGCTGCAGTGAGCTATGATCGCGCCACTGCACTCCAGCCTGGGCAAGAGTGAGACTTTGTCTTAGAAAAAACAAAAACAGCCCAACTAACCTGGGCTTTTCAAAAATATTAAAGTCATGGCCAGGCACGGTGGCTCACGCCTGTAATCCCAGCACTTTGGGAGGCCAAGGCGGCTGGATCACGAGGTCAGGAGATCGAGACCATCTTGGCTAACAAGGTGAAACCCCGTCTCTACCAAAAATACAAAAAATTAGATGGGTGTGGTGGCGGGGCCTGTAATCCCAGCTACTCAGGAGGCTGAGGCAGGAGAATGGCGTGAACCCGCGAGGTGGAGCTTGCAGTGAGCCGAAATTGCACCACAGCACTCCAGCCTGGGCAACAAAGCAAGACTCTGTCTCAAAAATATATATATATATATTAAAGTCATAAAAGACAAAGAAAGGCTGAGAAAAAAAATGTATAAGGCTGGAAGGAGTGTCTCACACCTGTAATCCCAGCACTTTGGGAGGCAGAGGTGGGCAGATCACTTGAAGTCAAGAGTTCAAGACCAGCCTGGCCAACATGGCAAAACCCCATCTCTACTAAAACTACAAAAATTAGTCAAGCATGGTGGCAGGCACCTGTAATCCCAGCTATTCAGGAGGCTGAGGCAGGAGAATCGCTTGAACCTGGGAGGCGGATGTTGCAGTGAGCCCAGATGGCGCCATTGTACTCCAGCCTGGGCGACAGAGCAAGACTTTGTCTCAAAAAAAAAAAAAAAAGAAAGAAAGAAAAAAAAAATATACACACACACACACACACACACACACACATTTATTTATTCACAACCTAACACTTCTCACTTCTTCCAGTGCCAGCATTCTGCTGCCGTCACAGACGCTTCCTGCCTAGAGTACTGTAGTGAACTCCCCTCTGGGACCCTGGCTTCCACCTTCACCACCCCCAGTCTACAACCCACACCCTGTTTGTCAATGCCCGAGTCAGATCACATGTCTTCTCTGCTCAGAGCCCTCTTGTGGCTTCTGTCTTGCTCAGAGACAAAGTCAAAGTCCTCACCACAGCCCTGCTGACCCTGTGAGCTCTGGATCCTGCCGGCACCCTCATGGTGTACCACGCTTGCTCTCCCCACCCCAGCCACACAGGCCTCCTCGCTGATTCTCAGGCACGATGCCTGGCAGTCCCTTCTTGGGCCCTTGCACTTTCAGTTCCCTGTATCTGCCTGCATCGCCTTTCCCTCCGTAAGCTTCAAGGTGGCCACCTTGCTTTTCCCACTGCTGGATCTCCAGCCCCCAGAAAACTGCCTGCCATAGAGACCAATGAGAATTCATGAATGGGCCGGGAATGGTGGTTCACGCCTGTAATCCCAGCACTTTAGGGGCTGAGGCTAGAGGATCACTAGAGGTCAGGAGTTCGAGAGCAGCCTGGCCAACATAGTAAAACCCTGTCTCTACTAAAATACAAAAATTAGCCGGATGTGGTGGCGCATGCCTGTAATCCCAGCCACTTGGGGAGCCTGAGGCAGGAGAATCACTTGAACCCGGGAGGCAGAGGTTGCAGTGATCAGAGGTCGTGCAGCGCGCTGTACTCCAGCCTGGGCAACAGAGCAATACTCTGTCTCAAAAACAAACAAACATTGGCCGGGCGCGATGGCTCACGCCTGTAATCCCAGCACTTTGAGAGTCTAAAGCAGGTGGATCACAAGGTCAAGAGTTCGAGACCAGCCTGGTCAACATGGTGAAATCCCATCTCTACTAAGAATACGAAACTTAGCTAGGCATGGTGGCACATGCCTGTAATCCCACCTACTCAGGAGGCTGAGGCAGGAGAATTGCTTGAAGCCGGGAGGCAGGGGTTGCAGTGAGCCGAGATCTCACCACTGCACTCCAACCTGGGTGACAGAGCAAGACTCCTCTCAAAAAAAACAAACAAACAACAAAATAAATGAAGAGTGGAGATCCCAGGCTGGTTTGGCTATGAGACCTCAGTAAGAGACAGCTTTCTCTTCCATTGTATGGAAAAATAGCCCCAATTGCTGCCTGTGCTGTTATTAGGATTCAACAGGCTCCTGCCAGACAGGGCCTGGCACATACTAGGTTCTCCATAATAGTGAACTGCTCTTATTGTTAGTATTGCTGTGTGACCTGGGGTTAAACAGCTTGACTAATCTGTGCTCTGTTTCCCCATCTGTAAAACAGAGCTCTAACTCACAGGGCTGGCATGGGGACTCAATGACCTAACTAACCTATGATGTCTGGCACATGTCTGCGACATATGAAGCACTATGCTATGATGTCAAACACATATAGGGAAATGCCAGCCTTGTGGGTACAGACCTGAGAGAGGAGGACCTACGTTTTAGCAGCTGTACCACTCCCTGTGGCTCTCCTCACCACTCCCTGTGGTGGGCCTCTCCTCTCTAAAGCCTAGTGAGGACTAACTGAGCTGAGTGACAAGCGTTGGGTACCCAGGACCCTGGGGCCAGGCACAGAAGGGAGGTGACTGAAATTGTCCTTTTTCTTTCTTTTTTGGAGACAATCTCACTCTGTCGCCCAGGCTAGAGTGCAGTGGCGCCACCTTGGCTAACTGCAACCTCTGTCTCCCGGGTTCAAGAGATTCTTGTGCCTCAGTCTCCCGAGAAGCTGGGACTACAGACACACACTACCATGTCTAGCTACTTTTTGTATTTTTAGTAGAGACAGGGTTTCACTATGTTGGTCAGGCTGGTCTCCAACTCCTGACCTCAAGTGATCCGCTCACCTCAGCCTCCCAAAGTGGTGGGATTACAGGTGTGAGTCACTGTGCCTGGCCTAAATTGTCCTTTTCCTTATTAGGCTCTTCCTGTCTCTGCACATGAACTATGAGCTCCTTGCAAGACAGGACCCTGCAGATAGGCCAAGGATGTGAACCAGGGCTACTCAATCTGGACACTATTGACATTTGGGGCTAGATAATTATCTGCTGTGTTGTGGGGCCTGTCCAATGCATAGGTGTAGGATTTAAGCAGCATCCTGGCCTCTGCCCCCTATTAATAGATACCAGTAGCATCCCCTCTTCAAGTTATGACAGCCAAAAATGTCACCACTGGTGAACAGTGAACTGGTGAATGTGAATTGCATCTCAATACAATGTTTTTTTAAAAAACGTCTCCATGAATTGTCAGACGTCTCCTGATAGCCCCAGATGAAACACTG